TCATTGTTGCCAACAAAATCTCTGTATTGTCCATCTGAATGAACACTCTGACTCACTTCTGATCCAACTCACGCCACTTGCTGATGAAATCAATACTCTGTCTGAACAATTCAACAATGCCATGTTAGTTGAACCCATTATTTTCGAAGAACTTGAACAGTGGCGTCAACAAGCCCATCGACTGATCGATCATTTCTATGAAAGAAAAAAACAAGAATTCAACGAATTACTTAACGAATCAAGAACAATTCAGAAAAAAGAACTCAACCTATTGCGAGATCAAATCAGTGAACTGATTCGCGAACAAGACGTGACGCATGAACATATCAATTCAATCCAAAAATCTCTTCGAACTGTCGAAAAGCTAATCAACTTACCTGAAAGTCAACTATTCATCCTTTCGCCTCTGGTCATCGATGATAATCTTGTCAACACTCGAAATAAAATATTGCAAACAGAAGATGGTTTTCCACTACCGCCTCCATATAAAATGTCGGCAGGAAGCGACACATCCGTTGCTATAGCCGCCAATGACAATAATCTTTTGGTTATACAAGACAAAAATCTTCAGTTATTCAATGAAGAATTGATCGTTGAGAAAGAGATCATGTGGACTCAAGACGATGTTCATGATATTATTTGGTCGAATGCTCTCGCTCGATTCATTCTCATCAGTTCAACAGAGATCTTCACTCTCGAGCCAAACACAATGACTTTCGAACCACTTACACTTGACCAACACAGGCATATTAACACTTGGTCATGTGGAACGTGTTCAAATCATAAATTATTTCTATCGACGTTCGATAAAGGTTCCTCTATCTTCGAGTATGATATTCAACCACCCATTCATTTTGTTCTAGAACACGTATCACCTCTTTCTTGCGCCGAACATGAGTCGATTGAGGATCTCGCATCGAATCATGCTGCATTGGCTCTGATTATCAATAATGATAAGGATGGTATGCGTCTCGATCTATGCTCCCTAATAACACTTGAGCGATACTGGTCACTGAAGCTTGATTTAACTTCTGGAGATTACCCAATGTCATGCTGTTTGTTGACCAATGATGAATGGATGATAATTGATCCAAATGATTCAGAACTTCTTTATATATCTAAAAGTGGAAGCTTCCTCAATAAATACTATTACAATTCGTCCTTTTTTGATGCTGTTCAATTCAACGACGATACAATCGCTATAGCGACAGAGGAAAGTGTCAATCTGCATCGATTATCTCGAAATGTTCTGTGAATTATTGTATCTCCATTCACTATAATGTAGAACTTTCTTGCCACCATTGGCTTCATTTATATATAGCTGACTGATTGCACTGTTCTAAAGATAATTTTCTGTTTTTGGAATAAATAAAATGCTCTTGAATGTAAAAGCTTTAGATCTTATGTTTAGATTTTATCACTTATTTCTCTGCTTCAGATAATGAAACGATAGTGTCAGGTAGAATGTTTAGAATTACTTAAGAAGACATCACCTCCTGTCATAACAAGAAGATCCAAATTTTTTCAGTTTTAGACTTTTATCGCTGTAGATACTTTGAGTTGTCTTCTATCGATTCGTAAAAGAGAGTGTCGATAGAGAGGAAAGTGACATACATCCACGCCCAAATTTTCTTATCTGCAGTTGGTATTCACCGAAATTATCTGTTTATTTCCTTCTATACTATGAGTAATAACCGAAGTTTTCGGGAAATTTCTTCCTGGAGTGAGGGTAATTTCCGAAATTTCTAGATATATTTATTCTCAGATGTTTTGAAATTCGGAAATTTCGCTGAATTTCCTCTATCATTCTATTGGTGATTACGAAAATTTCTAGAAAGTTTCTGTTTTTTGCCCATGAAGATCTTGAAATGGTATCATAGAAATTTTGTTATTTTTGGAAATTTGTTTTTTCGGAAATTTGAACATACCTCGTTTTTTTGCCAAATATCATACGATGCAAAATTAATGGCAGAAAATGTTGATCCATTTTTCTCGTTGATAGAAGACTGCTGAAAGAAAATCTTTTTTTAAGAAAAAGTAGAGCTTTTTCTCCTCTTCAAATCGTGTATAAGTCATTTTCAAAAAGCATTTGTAAACGGAACGACGCAAGAAAAAAGAAAGACATCCTCAAAAAAAAGTCCGTTTTTTTCTTGGAATTTAGAAAAACAGCACAAAATATTGATTCCTATATATCTGGAATAATCCTTCAATAAACATGTCTTAAAAAGAAAATTTTCTCCTCTTTCGAACGGTGTATGATTTATATTTGTCACATATTCGTATATGAAATGAGACGAAGAAGAAAGAGAAACAGTTGTTCAATAAATTTGCAATTTTTATATAAATTCGTCAAAAACATGTTGTTAGACAATAATTAATTCGAGTTTTGTGTACTCATTAAAAATTTCTTCTAAAAGAGTGCTTACTTCGGCTTTTAAGAACTCGTTAAAAACAGGTTGTTAGATGATAGTTAATTGTACTTAACTGTCGTCTACTAAATGTTTTTGACGAATTGATATAAGCATTGTTAATTTATTGCTCGATTGTTTCGCTTTCTTCTTCATTCCATTTCACTAGCGAATGTATGACAAATATAAATTATACATCGTTCGAAAGAGGAGAAAATTCCCTATCAGCTGATAACAAAATTTTGTTTCTAAAATGTATGTATGAAACATATAACGATCGACATTTTATGTTATACTTTTATAGAAAAAGTACGAATTTTTTTAGGTTGTTTCTCTTTTTTATTGTGTCGTTCTGTTTACAATCGTTTTATGAAAATAACTTATATACGATTTGAAAGAGGAGGAAAAGTTCTGTCTTTTGGTAAAAAAAGAACCTTTTCTTTCAGTATTCTTCTATTCAGAAGAAAAAGAAATCAACATTTTGCGCCATTATTTTTGCAGCGTATGATACTTCAACAACATAAGCATCTGTTCTTTGATTAATAGATTTACAAAAAAACAGATTAATTAATCATAAATCTGGCACTTGTCTAATTCTAAGTGTAAATATATCATCCAACAAATATTATATTATATACCTTTCATATTGTGCTTCTAGGGTGTGGGTGTGGGTGTGGGTGTGGGGTATCCACTGCGAGTCTTCTATTCATCAACACCCACACCCACACCCACACATCCACACCCACCCTGAATGATTAAATTTTTCTTTTTCGATTATTATTATTATTAAATTTCTTTTATTTATTTTTTCTATTAATCACTAATTCCTAGTTATTTTTATCATTTTTATTTCAGGCTCTTTTTCAATAATTCATTAAAAAAAATGAGTTCAAATGACAATTCCACCTCAACAACAAATAATGCATCTAAAATCAAAGATGATGCTAATAATGATGAAAATTTTTCATTTGATTCTAATCAAATATCATCTGATGAACAACTTTCACAAAAAATTGGTTCAATTAATTTTTCAACAACATTTGAAGATACAAATACTTATGAAAGTGAAGCAAAATCATCAACAACTACAAGTCGTACATATGCTCAAGTAGTCTGTGGTGCTAAACCTATTAAAAAATCTGAAACACGAGGTATATCAACAATTAACTCTCTCTTTTCAGCAACTAACTTTTTGTTTAGCTGAAAATCCAAAAGAAAATGAACAAACAAATGGTAAACAGGAAAAAATTTTCTATTTCTATCACTGTATTTTCAATAGTACTTGAAGAAACTCAAGAAATTCCACCAATTGTTGGAAGAATATACAAGCTCAGATATAGTTTAAGTGCACAATTTGGTGTCTATGATGATCAATCATCAACAGTTGAATCATCATCATCGAAAAAAGCTAACCAACGTCCATGTCTTGTCATTAGAAAATCATCAACATCAGTCAATGTGTTGCTCATTACTAGATTTCACTATCGTGATCCTAGATCTGAAGAAGTTTTACCAGAATTATCAAGAGAAGATTTATTAAAATACTTTTTACCAATTCATCCAGCTTCTCTAAATGATGGGAGAAGAAGTGTGAGGCTTACATTATCACAAGGTCCAAGTTATTTTCGTTCTTCAGAAAAGTCTTATATCATTTTAAAGCCGCTTATTGTTTCTTTAAACGAAAACTGGTCAAAACTCATACCGGAGTACATTGATAATGATGAACTTTCTTATATTCGGGATACTCTCTTCAACATCTTGATGGAAGAACATGGTCAATTGATGGAAACATTAAAAATTATAAGAAACAATTCTGAAGACAAGGATGATGAAGATAAGAGTACAACATCATCATCATCATCATTTCCTATTCCTCGATTCTTACAAGAATCATTTGGACATATTGATTTAAGTTTAAACAAATCAAAAGAAATTGAACAATGGTTAGCCGATGTGGAACCATCATCAGAATGTACCATCGACTTGAACAATTAACTCAATTAACTTTTTTTTTTTGTTAGTCATCTTTGGTTTTTTTAAAGTTAGAAGATAAAAACTTTCCTTTTCTTTTCGTTACTCTATTTCATATTTACATTCTATTAACAAAAAAAAAGGCAAAGCATCTAGTTAATTATCTTTCTTTTTAGATTAATAAATATGGTATTTTCATTATATGGTCTTATTGAAGCTGCATTTCTTTGTGTTAATACAATTGCCATACTTAATGAACAGGTTTCTTTCAAAATGTAAACGAAATTTATTTGTATAAAAATAAGGTTCGTCTTTTTGTTTTTAATATCTAGACAACATAATTCCGGTGTTGGTTATGTTGATGAATATCAAAATACTGGTGAAGTTAAACAACAATGACTTCATTTAGTTCGGTCTGTTCGAACAGTGATGAGAAGTTAAATTGATTTTGTTTTTTTTATTAAATTTATTTCTATTTTTTTATTCCATTAATCGCTTTTAATATTATAACAATTATATTTCTTATTTTATTTGGTTTAATGAGTTAAATATTTCTTTTAATATGAAGCAAAATACTAGAAGAATAAATTTGTCATTAAACATAATGATCTGATTTCTATTTAAGATAATTTCATAAGAAAGAAAATAATGTCACGAATAATGCAACAGCCAATATCATGGACATCAATACCAATTGTTCATATTGATTCTATTGAACAGTTCAAATCCGTTGACTCATTATCGATCAATTATGGATTTTCTTTTAAGAAAGATTACAAGCAGAAATATGAATGAATTTTTTTAATGTTTTCTATTACATATATATATCTTAGAAAATATTCTGGGTTTTTTTTAGTATTGACTAACTTTCCATTGCGAGCAAAATATGGGATATTTAACAATCGAGGTGAACATCTATTTTCTGCATTTGAAGGTACATTAAATTAGTTAAATATTGGATAATATCTATTCATTTTATGTTAAACAAGAATCAAAATCATTTGAAGTTATTTGTTATACAAATGGGCGAGCATTTACTATGCATATTCTTGACAATTATTGTCGAGTAAGTGGAAATTACAGATCATTGTTTCCTTTTTTTTTTATATTTAAAGATATATTTTGTTTTACTATTAGGAACTTATTAGAGTTCATCGTGAATTACAATGTTGTTCAGGATGTAATTGTTTTGGTAGTCGTGAAAGTTGTATGCAACAAGTTACTGTTGAATGTCCACCTGGATTTATTATTGGCACTGTTCAACAAGAGTACTAATAGCATTATTACTTAGACAATCATTGTTCTATTATCGATCGTGCTCTCGTTTAGAGTTAGTGCTGGTGGTATGAATTATATTATTAAAGATGTAAATAATACACCTATGTTAACTATAATGGGTCCCTGTTGCATTTGTAATGGAGCTTATTCTTGTGGATGAGAAAATAAATATATAGTAAGTGACATTTCATTTAAAATATTTCTGCTTAAAAAAATTCGATAGATAATCATTGTTTAAAAAGATGAACATTAATTATGCTTAAGATCTTTCTTATTAGGAATTCTTATTCGAATTGTTAAAAAGCGATTTTAAATGAATTAATATCTTGAGAGTAAGAAAGTCTCGTCAGCGAATCCTGTTGTTTTTACAGTCAATTGTAAGTAAAAAAATAATTTCTTTTGTTGATCGATTCAAAAACCAAGAGATTGTCGCCATGAAATTTATTCTTTATATTTCTCTTGTTAGTTCCATTGAATTTGGATACTAAAATGAAAATTCTTGTACTTGGTGCTCTTTTTCTTATTGTAAGTTGTATTTTGAAATATGTTGATATTGATTTTTCTTTAATCTTTAGGACATCGGGAACCATCAACCTATTATTTTACGTCATGTAAAGTTTAATCTTTTAACGATTTCTTCATCTTGTTGTCTGTTATATTTTTATTTTAAACTTTACATTAACTTATTTTAAGAGAAATTCGAACCAAGACAGTGTTTTCTCTTTCCATTTTGTTGAATATTCAACGGAAGTATTGCTGTTAATAGCAATAGTGATGTTTAACTTTTATTTTTGATAATAAATTTCACGGAATAAGATCTGAACATAAGTATGGGAATGAAATACGAGATATATAATGACTGTCTAATAAGTTTTGATCTTATTTTAAGTTCTATTCTTTTCTAATATGTTTTTTTCAGTAAAATGGACTAATATTTACACCATAGATATGAGATGTCTCGCTGAAATTCTAGGCTAGAATTTGACATTTCAAATCTGCCTGTAATAGTCACAGAGATACAAGTGCCATAAAATTCATTGGAATTTTTCAATTATTTATTTAAAGAACAAGAACAAAAAAAAACATTTCCATTATTTGATCAGTTTCTAATACCTAATCACTTTTAGTTTACTGTGTATGATTTGTGCGAGTATGAGGATGGGGATGGGGTCCGTGTAGTTCGAGAAGATATATACTCACACCTATATATCGACGCCAACACATTCACAACCACATTCTGAAGATATCTGCGGCAAAGCTAGGAGTGACACTAAGAGAGACATTGAAAAGAAGATAGATGGGATGGATAGATGAATGTGAGCTTAGATACACTCTTCATTGAAATACCAATCGATTTACTTATATCAATACCTACTCTCTTACCCTCAAATGGAAATTTACAGTGAGCTCTTCAACAACTTCCTCAGGATGTAGAGAATCGAGTTTAGGCTTTCAAACATTTGCATCCCAAAATTCCATCTTTTTCGGGAGAAATTGATCCTAAAACATGTTCGTTCATTTTTCCATTGAAACTTAGAATGTCGATCCATAATGAACTAAAACTATGTAGATGTATTGGCTACAACATTTGGGTGTGGATAAATCATGGTTAGAATATTACGAAAAGTGACCGACTTCCGGTGCATTTTTATGTAAGCTTTCTTTGAAAAACTTTTTAATCGTAGCTGGACAACTGATGATAATCACTATCTCCGTATTATTTAATCCTTACGCAAAGGGTTTTCTACTTAAATACGATAAGACAGAGATTATATAATTAATTTGATTTAGTCTGTTTTCTTATTTCAGTAGTATCCTTGCTTCCGGTAAGACTTCCACTCGTTATTGGTAAACGATTGAGCTCCTGTTGCATAGAGTTGAACAGCTATAAGACCATCCCTATCAGCAGATCCGTGCCATCGTTCATTCGTAGTTACTGAAAACCCGCCGCAGTTTTTGTCCTGATCACATTGAGCGATGGCATCCGGAAATGGCAGAATACATTGATTCTGCACTACATTTCTTCGATTATCGTTACAGTTATATGTTAAATCACCGAAGTTTATACCGTCAGGAACGAGCACATAATTATAATGTGGTGTGCAGTGCTGTCCAATATTTGTCCTAGTTAACATGATTTTATATTGAAATCATAGTGAATTAGTTAAGTATTACCTATCAGTCTGATTAACTCCTTGAACATACAAAAGTTCATTGAATAACGATAGTAACATTGCAGTAACTAAAATAAAAATTGGTTTCTTCATTTTTTCTCGGATCGATTATGTTTTAATAAAGTCGTCTACATTATATAGAATATAATAAGTAATACATTTTTATTCATTTATTCATAATATATTAAATTCAGCTGAAAGGATATCAATATTCATATTAATTATTCAATATAGTATGCTGCTGTTCTACATGCAATGCATTCAAAGGTAAATACATTAGTTTCACTGTCTTGAAATCCTTTTATCATAGTATAGACTACGGTGTACATGTAGGTGCAGATATCTATAAAATGACCATCCAAACATTAACCCACACACTAAAGAGTGATAGAGGGTGCAGGTATAGATATATGTATGTGTGGATCTTTACACGAAACCAAGATCCATACCCTAAATATCGTTAAAGTATGTAAAGTTGTTTTGTAACTATGAACTGTCTAAATGTAACGAGAAAAATAATTTTTTCGATCATTTTTCTTTAAATATCGACAGTTACATTTCATATTTATACTACATGTACTAGATAATACATAGTCAAAGATGTGTTATATGATTAGCCTCTGGGCACAGCAATTTATTCCAAAGCATATACATGTATTAATTGCTCGTATGTGACTATATGAAAAATTCGATATTCTTTGTGTTACATACGATTTTCTTATTCTTTCGAGAGTGTCGGTATGAATTAAATAAAGACTAAAACCTATACCGACACTCCATCCTAATAATCTAGTTATATTATTTTCAATAAAGTTATCTCAGTTAACAATTCAACAACACCATCAGACAGATATCAAAGCATATATTTATCATCTAGAATCTGTACTAGCAGAACGTGATTTTCGAAGTGCATTAACTAGTACTTATCAAAATTTTTCCTGTGTCGTCGATATCGAACAGGACATGTCTATCAAATATTCTCAACAGTACATAAATTTACAATATACATCTTTTTTGTTTTTCTAATTTGCATCAGTTATATGTTGTGAAATAATTACGATTCGACTAGTCATATCAATACTCAAAATTAAGTTTTTTCAAAAAGTGCTTCATGATTTTTCATAACTAAATATAACTTCATATGCAATTAAATGATGATGACAATGAAAAAAAATGAAATTTAATATGATAATCTTTCAATTTTTATAAAAACTTCTTTTTACATCTTGATATCTGTCGAAAGATGTCGCTCATTATCAATAACGTTTGTTTTAGAGAGGTTTACATATAAATCTAATTGGTAGATAAAAATTAATCAATCAATAATTTTATGTTTCTACGACGCGACGTGTCCCTTCGGAGTATACACTATAGTGTACTGAGTAATCGACAGGCTGTGTATGTTTATACTTATAGAAAAGAGAAAACGAACGAAAAAGAAAAAAAAAGAATGCATCAATAGAAATTAAGAACATAGAAGAGGAAAAAAAAAACTAACAAGTATAGCTCTATTATATCAAAATCAAATTGATGACTTCTTTATCAATACTCAATCACCTATAAATACATAAAGATACTTATTAACTTACAATTTATTTTAGATTTTGCAATGAGCATCGAAATCAAAGATAATACGAATATTCATTCCAATGATGAAATTAATCAAGATAATAATGAATTATCAGAAGAAAATGAACAACAAATTCAACCATCATTATTAACATCAAATAATAATGAATTACCATTAGAAATTCCATCTACTGATATTATCAATGAAAACGAAAATGATTCAACAGCAGCAACAATATCAGAAGAAAATTCATCAGCATTACCATTATCTGAAGAAAATTCATTAGTATTACCTGGATCTGAACAAGACAATAATAATAATACAGCTGGTGATACTATTCAATCAGAATCTTCAAGTCAAGATGATGATGATACTCATCAATTATTACAAACAATAGCTGATAAATCAAATAAAGAAGCATCTTTAACAATATTAAATACAGTAAAATTATCAATTTTTTCTTTAGTTTATCGTTTTTTTTATTTTATTATTTTTTTTAGCTTGTCGAAGGTGATTTTGATTTAGATAAAAATTATATAATACAAAAACCAAAAAATTTATATGAATTATTTTCTATATTTAATAAAATGTCATCATTATTACAAGCTGAAATTCTTAGTGTATTAATTGGTATAATGCGTAAAAGTGAACGTAATTTATTAGCATCAATTGATGCACAAATTTATCAAGAAGTTTTAGAATTATTAAATAAAATTGATGATGATGTTGTTGCTGATTTATTAGTTGATATTCTTACTGTATTAACATCATTAACAATAAATGTTAATGAACTTAAACTTCTTTTACATTATCTTAAAACAGAAAATCGTATATGGGTATGAAATAACCAAAAACAAAATTATTATTATTATATTTACGTTTGTTTTTTTGTTTTAGAAAAAACATGCTATTAAATTATTAAATATATTTAAAAGTCTTCCATATCGACATGGACCTGATGAATTTTTTAATTTTCCTGGTCGAAATGGTTCTGGTATTGTTTTACCACCAATTAAAATTTGGCCATATCAAAATGGTTTTACAATAACAACATGGTTTCGTATTGAACCAGTTGCTAATGGTATTATTGAAAAAGAAAAACCATATTTATATTGGTTTTGTACATCAAAAGGTCATGGTTATACAGCACATTTTGTTGGTAATTGTTTAGTTATATCATATTCAAAATTAAAAGAAAAAACATTTCAACATTGTATACAATATGAATTTAAACCACGAGAAGTATTTATTAACAAAAAAAAATTTTATATAAATTCATATTTTTTTTATTTAGTGGTATATGATAACATTTGCACATCAATATCAACGATGGGGTAAAAGTAGTATACATTGTTATATAAATGGACATATTGTATCAAATACAAATTATTCATGGTATATTGAAAATAATGAACTATTTGATAAATGTTTTATTGGTTGTACACCTGATCGTCATGAATTAACAAGTTTTTCTGGACAATTATCAACATTTTATTTATTTAGTATTTATTTAGAATCATTAATTATACAAGGTTTATATAAATTAGGACCAGCATATAAAAATCAATTTAAATTTGAAAATGAAAGTGCACATGTTTTAACTGATATACAAAGAAAATCAATGTATGATGGAAAATTAATGAATTCAATTATATTTAATTATAATCCAATTGCATGTGAAGAAAAACTTGTTTTACAAGCTGCACCTAAAACAAATATATCATATTTTATTCATACAGCACATGCACAAATGTTAAGTAATGTACGATCAGTAATAACATATTCAATTTATTCAACATTACATAGTGTTGGTGGTATACAAGTTATTTTTCCTTTATTTGGACAATTAGATCATCAACAAATAGATAATTCAATTAATTATAATGTTTGTTCAATATTAATATCAACATTATGTGAATTAATTCAACGATCATATACAATACAACATCAAATGCTTAATTCAAAAGGTTTTCTTGCTATTGGTTATCATCTTGAAAAAGTAAGAATAAATTCGAAATATTGGGATTTCATAGTTATATTGAAGCGCGCGCGCGAGATTTGAAAAAATTCACAAAAAAAAAAAAACTATTCCTGTTAATATGACACAATGAGGAAAGCATGTACATTTTTGTTTTTATGTAAGGATATTCAGAAAATTTTCTTTCATATCGAACTTTGTAGAAATTTTTTTGATTTTCATTCTTGAATGATATAAATATAATTTTTAATGAAATGAATTTATTATAAATTTTTTAAGTATTACCTATGAATTTTCGTTTTTTTTAGGCATCAAAACAACATATTAATATGGATGTATTAAATTCTCTTATATCATTAACAACATTTTTTGTTAAAATTGAAAGCAAAAATAGTCCATTATTATTAAAACAATTATTTGTTCATATATTTTTTAATCCTGCTATATGGATTTATTGTTCAGTTGATGTATATTATTTTATTTGATTAATATTTGAAATTGTTAAAAAAAAAATTTATTTTTCATAGGTTCAAATGCGTTTATATACATATTTAGCAACAGAATTTGTTACTTATTCAGAAATTTATCATTTAATACAACCAATAAGTGAAATAATTCAAACATTACATACATTAAAATATTTCTATTGGATTATTGATCCAAGTCATCGTAGTGGTTTTAAACCAAAAGGTTTAGGTAATTAAATAAAAAAAACAAAAGTTCTTATTAATCTAAAAATAAATTTTTAGATGGAAATCGACCAACACGTGAACAAATTATTGAAATGAGACGTTATATGTTACTTTATTTAAAACAACTTGTTATAAGTAGTTCTGGTACTCAAGAAGAAGAACTTCAAGCTATTCTTAATTATCTTCATACAGTTCATGAAGTAAGAGATATATTTTTTTTTCGGATTTCTATATTGAAAATTTTTTATTTTTAGGATGATAATCTTATTGATGTATTAGATATGACTGTAAATCTTATGTCTGAACATCCAAGAGCAATGGTACCTGCATTTGATCGTCGACAAGGATTAAAGTAAAAATTATAATTGAAATTTTTTGTTTTGTAAAAAAAAAATTTTTTTTTTTTTATAGAACGGTGTTTAAATTATTAGCTAGTAGTAGTGAAATAACACGTTTACAAGCATTAAAATTATTAGGATTCTTTCTTCAACGAAGTACAGTAAAGTAAGTAAATAACAAAATAGTCGATAGTTTAAATTTTTAATATTTAAAGACGAAAAACTGATGCAATGCAACCACATAATTTATTTTCATTATTGGCTGATCGTCTTTTACTTCATCCAAATAGTTTTACAATGGCTACATATAATGTTCTATTTGAAGTAAAATATATAAAAATTTCTATAATTTTTAATAATTAAAAATTTTAATTATTAATAGATACTTGTAGAAAAAGTAAGTGGATTAGTTGTTGAAAAACGAAGTTCAGAAATTACAGCTGATTGGAAAATTGAAAATCCAGGTAAATGATTTTTTTTTTTACATAAAAGTTAGATTTTATGTAAATTTTGTTTAAAGCTATGATTAAAGTTATTGCAACATTACTTCGTAATGCAGCTGATAATATTCATTTATATGATATTAAATTACGTTTTCTTGATGATTTAATTTTACTTGCATCTGCAAGTCGAGAAAATCGAAGGTAATTAAATAAATAGATATTTATTTATTTTGTTTTAATTTTTCATTTGTTAAGAACTATTTTACAAATGTCTGTTTGGCAAGATTATCTATTTGGTCTTGCATATGTTTATCCAACACATGAAATACAATTTGAAATAACTGATCGTGTATTTGATTTATTAAAAATTTTATTACATCATGCTATTAAATATGAATATGGTGGATGGCGTGTATGGATTGATACACTTTCAATTTTACATGGACGAGTAAATTGAAAACAAAAAAAAATTGATTTATATTTTGTTATGATTATGTTTTTTTTTGTTTAGATAACTAAAGAAGATTATTATAGAAAAGTTAATAAAATTGTTGAAAGTATAAAAGATGATGATGATAATGAAGTAAGCTTTTTTTTTGTTTTCTATATAAATCAATTGATTATGAATTATTTTTAGTCAATTTCTCCAAGAAAACTTAGTGGTTCACAAACTCCAGTTGATGAACAAATTGTTTCAACACCTACTAGTAAATTTATGTTTATTAATTCTTATAGGAAAAATGTACAGATTTTGAATTAAAAATTGATTTATTATGTTTTTTTTTAGAATCAACATCTAGTCGTCAAGTATTTAAAACAAATCAATTACCACCATTTACAATATCAGAATTTAAATATTCATCAATGCATATTCGTCTATTACATAATGTTTTTGATTCAATTGAAATTGATATTCGTTTATGGAGATCGTAAATATTCAATAAAAAATTAAACTTAATTTTTTTTTTGTAATTTTTAGTGATTCAACTAAATCAATAATTGATGCAATAAATAATCCAGATAATCAAATATTTTGTGCTAATGTTGTACATATTATATCTCAAATGGCAGATGTATTATGTAATGCATGTGGTGGTCTATTACCATTACTTGCAAGTGCAACATCAGCATCTGTATGTATATATATTTTAGTCAAATACGATCTGAAAACGAGTGTTGAAGTGTTTAGGGATAGAAATTTGCACCCCGCTCCCCCAAGTAGAGCCCGTCGGGTCCAGAATTTTTGGATCCGGACCCGGACCCTGGCCCAGGATTTTGGACCCGGACCCGGATCCGATCATTTAAAATTTTTCTACCCGGATCCGGACCCGGACCCGTTTACAGGTTGCTGGACCCGGACCCGGACCCGGTCGCTTAAATTTTTTGGATCCAAACACAATGACAAGTCAGTTTAGATAGTATAGTGAAGAAGGTTTTTGTTGTTTTTTATCTATTTTCTAAATACATTTGATCTCTTCTTTGTATAAAACGAACAAAACTTTAAAAAAATTCAAAATAAATTGTATGGATCAAAGTTTTCTTCAGACCTGGATCCGGTTAAAGCAAAATTTTCAGACCCGGATCCGGTCAAAATAAAATTTTTGGACCCGGACCCGGCCAAAGTAAAATTTTTGGACCCGGACCCGGACCCGGACCCGTGCGGGTCCGGGTAGGGTCCGGGTCCGGGTCCTACCCGACGGGGTCTACCCCCAAGACCGTGACAGACGAATTTAATAATTAATATTTCGTTAGACTAATCGCTGAAGATCCATTACAGACTGTGACAGAGAAACTGTAGTCAGATAAATGGTTAGCTAGAAATGAAACAATAGATCCAATCGTGTTTCATATTTTTAATCTTTTGTTTTTTTTAGCATGAAATTGAATTATTAGAAAATACTGAAGGTTTATCACCTAAAGATGCATTAAAAATTTTAAAACGTATTATGAGTTTATCAGATTTATTTATACTTGCAAATAGTGGAAATTTTTCTGAACTTGAACAAGAAAAAAGTATGCCAAATGGTGGAATATTACGACAATGTCTTCGTTTATGTATGAAATTTGTTTGCTTTTTTTTTTTTTAAGATTGTTTAATATTTTTGAAAATATTTTAGCAATGACAACTGCTGTTCGTCATTGTATGGAATGTCGTTTTCAAAAATTTGATTTATCAAAATTATCAAATTTAACATTAGCACAAAAAACATCAAATAAAGATCCAATTGAAACTATACTTGAATTAACATATTTAATGAATATGAATGAAAATGATAATGAAAGTGATAATGAAAATGATGATATATCAACATTAATTGCATTATTTATTAAAAATCCTGAATCTGTTTTACAAGAACTTGATGTTCAACGTTTACGTGCTATTATCTATCGTGATGTGGTAAGACCAGATCGAAGTAAAACGAACAAAAATGTTGTCGTTGTTGTGGTAAATTAAATATTCTTTTTTTTTATATTATTATTGTTTTGCTTTATATGTTTTTCATGTTAAAAAAAAAAATTATTGAATAATATGAAAAAATTTTTTTTTTGTTTTAGGATGATACAAAACAATCACAATTTTTAGCATTAGCTATTGTATATTTTACATCAGTACTTATGGTATCAAGATATCGAGATATAATTGAAACAAATCAAACAAATTTTTCTAGACAACCATCAATTATAAGTACAACACCTAGTATTCGACGTGGTATGAATATATTACTTAGGGCTAGCCAAAAGTTCGTAGAACGGTTTTAAAGAATCTTGTCGGATAAGATAATCTATTTAGAAATAAAAAACCAAATATACCATATTGTAGAACTTTTTGAGGCGCGTGGAATGGTATATAAAAAATCCTGTTTTCATAAGACTTTGAAGGAACTAGAGTCAATTTACTGATAGACGACTACACACTCACACCCAAGCATGATAGGTTACTGAATATTGTTGTCCTTGGGATTAGTCGACAGTATTTGTAAAATATTTTTTTCTCATATACGATTTTGCAGAGTTTTTGACAGGCTACAACCTCATATATGTAGCATCTCCGGTCATCTTGTCAGTGTGGGTATGGGTGTGTAGTCGTGTATCAGTAAATTGACTCTAGTTCCTTCAAAGTCTTATGAAAACAGGATTTATTATATACCATTCGACGCGCCTTAAAGAGCTCTACAAAATGGTATATTTGGTTTTTCATTTCTAAATAGGTTACTTTATCTGACAAGGTTCTCTAAAATCGTTCTACGAACTTTTGGTTTGCCCTAAGTAGATTGTTATTTCTTTATTAGAAACTTTGTTTTTTTTGTTATTAGGTTCGACTAGTGAGATAAATGTAGATACAGTTAGTATAAATGATTCAACATCGATTACAAATAATCAAGTATGAATTTTATTAAATTAATTTTGGGAGGCGGGGGGGGAAGTTTAAAAAATTGTGTATTTTGTAGAAGAATAATGATGAATCGGCAGTTATTGATGATAATAATGAAGTTAATAAAATAAATTTACAATCGACTAATAAAAATTCAATCGATATAAATAATACAAGTGCTACAGCTACTCAATATGGTATGTAGTAAAATAATAATTGATATGATGTAGAGAAGTAATTATAATACTTTTTTAATAGCAAGTATTGCTAGTATTCCTACTAGTGATTCAACAATAATAAATAAAAATGAATTAACTGAATCAAAACTTCCTGATTATCCAAAAGCAAATTTTAATTCAAATGAATCATCAATGAATATAACAGAAAAATTAGAACGAGCATTATCGAATATAGCACCATTTTTACGTGATATATTTATAGAATTTTCACATATACTTACAAAAACATTAGTTGGTTCACATGGACAAGAACTATTACCTAATGGTTTACATGCACTTAAACAAACAGCATCAGTTGTTGAACTTGTTATGCTTTTATGTTCACAAGAATGGCAAAATTCTCTTCAAGTAATATTTAATTTTTTTTTTCTAAGCATTTATCTTGAAAACTATTTTAATTAGAATATTAAATAATATTCTACAGACAAAAAATTTTATTAAAATTAAAAAAAGGAAATAATTCTTTCATTTTTGTTTTGATTTTAGAAACATGCTGGTTTAGCTTTTATTGAATTAGTTAATGAAGGACGTTTATTATCTCATGCAAGTAAAGATCATGTTGTTAAAGTAGCTAATGAAGCTGATTTTATACTTAATCGTATGCGTGCTGATGATATACGTAAAGCAAGTGAATTTGAACAATTATCAGCACAAACAACTGTTGAACGTAAATCAGAAGAACAATTATGTGAACATTTTATAACAGCAGCAAGACAACGACATCAAGTTATAGCATTACGTTTACAAGAAAAATTTTTAATGATGATGATTAATGATAAAACAATTTATTTAAATAGTTCAAGATTATTTTGGAAATTAGATCCATGGGAAGATGATTTAAGACGACGACGACGTTTAATACGTAATCAAAATGGTTCTATACATAATGAAGCAACACAAAAATCATCATTTAATGGTATTAATGATGATATAATAATATCTTTTATACAAGAAGAAAATTTATTAAAACAATTAAAACAACAAAAAATACAAAATTTTAATCAAACAATAACAGATGATGATGAAATATTACAAGTTGATGAAAAAGATCTTGATCAAGATTTTTCAGGACCAATACGTTTTTCAACTGAATGTTCATTAATTTGTGGTATTAATATAATACGTGGTACTTTAGCTATGACACATAATGCTATGTTATTTGATGCTGATGAATATGATGAAAGTTTTACAAAAATTGATTCAAAAGTAAAATTAATAAATTATTAAAAATTACATATATATATTCTATTTTTTTTTAAGATGTTTCCTTATATTGATAATATTCATGGAAAATGGCATTTTAATGAAATACGAGCTATATTTTCAAGACGATATCTTTTACAAGATAAAGCATTAGAAATATTTGTTTCAAATAGAAGTATGAATTAAATAGATTATTTTTTTTTCTTAACTTCATTTAAAATTATACTTTATAGACTATAAAACTTATAAATAATAATATTTTTCATTTGAACAAGAAATTATCTATCCTTATTTATATAATAAATAGATTTTTGGAGATTTTTCTTTTTTTTTTGAATAGTTCAATTTTGATAGTTCCAATAACATTGAAGATGAAATGAATTTGATTCATATCCATAGGAATCCTTTCTTTCCTTTGGTAGAACCTGAAATTTGTTCAAGTGTGCGTCAATTTAGTAATCCTTAATATATATATATAGATAATATGGTAAATTAGATTTATTGGTCTTGCTATGAAATTCTCTTGCGAAAAACCTCTAGCTTATTGCTATACTTCTACATATATTTTTTTTAATGAGTAATATATTAAGAGAAAAAATGATTTTTAAATTTTGCATAGGAACAAGCCTTTATAAGAATGATTTCTTATGAAAGTTTTCAATTCTTCTTGTTCTTCATATTCTAAAATATAGCTATAGCAACTAATACTTTCACAAAAAAAAAACAAACTTCTTATTAATTCTTAAAAGTCCAAGGAAGGTTTTTCTTGCAACAGAAAGAAAACAACCATAAAAATTGAACTGATGAATTCTTAGTACACTCATACTTTGTTCTTGAGATATTGAACATAGAAAAAAATCGACAACATTTTGCCAAAAAACTCATAAAATCCAACTTCTCTTCAACATGCTGTATTTCCAAGAGTAAATAATAATTGTTTATTGAAAAATTTCAGGGTAATCTAAATAGTATATGAGTTATTTATAAGTCAAAATCTCTTTGTTTCAATTTTTTCTTGAGGCAGACTATCCCTTCGAAGGAACATTGGATTCTTAAGGGTTAAGATTTGTCTCTATGCAAATTTTCAAATCAAAATAATCTAACAGATATTTGTATGAAAGATTGAATTATTATTTCAATTTATAATTTTCTGTTTTATTTTTGTTATAATGTACTTTTGTAAATTTGTATTTTAGCAAGTGTTATGTTTGCATTTATTGATCGTTCAATTGTAAAAAAAGTTGTAAACTTTTTACCTCGAGTTGGTGTTGGTGGTCGTTATGGTTTACCACAACAACGGTTAGAATAATTATTTAATAATATTTATTTTTCTATTATTTTTATTTAGACGAACATCATTAGCATCAGCAAAACAATTATTTCGTTCAGCAAATATGACTCAACGATGGCAAAGACGAGAAATTTCAAATTTTGAATATCTTATGTATCTTAATACAATTGCAGGTATAATTAAATAAAGATTAAAAATAAAAATTTTGTTACATCTAAAATATTTTTTAGGTCGAACATATCAAGATTTAAATCAATATCCTGTATTTCCATGGATTATAGCTGATTATGAAAGTGAAAAACTTGATTTAAATTCTCCATCAACTTATCGAGATTTATCAAAAGTAAAATTTTTAATTATTTTTATTATCTATATTTGATTTTATTTTTCTTTAGCCAATTGGTGCATTAAATCCTACAAGAAAATC